CAAGGAGCAACTAAGTTCAGGAGCGGACTACGGGTCCCTCCCAAAGCCTAAGAGCCACAAGAAGACCCAGTTGCCACTTCAGCGTGGGCGAAGTTCAGGAGCGGACTNCCCTCCCAAAGCCTAAGAGCCACAAGAAGACCCAGTTGCCACTTCAGCGTGGGCGAAGTTCAGGAGCGGACTACGGGTCCCTCCCAAAGCCTAAGGGCCACAAGAAGACCCAATTGCCACTTCGTCATGGGCAAAGTTCAGAAGCGGACTACGGGTCCCTCCCAAAGCCTAAGGGCCACAAGAAGACCCAGTTGCCACTTTGGCATGGGCAAAGTTCAAGAGCGGACTACGAGTCCCTCCCAAAGCCTAAGGGCCAAAAATGCCAAACTGACAAGGACCTAGGCACTACATAAGACCTGGTTACCTCGCTAGCATAAGCAAGCTACTTCTAACACCTAAGGTAAAGACAGCTCGGGTATAGACCCTACGATGTCTATTCCACCCCAGTTACCCTTACTCGTTAACGAGCTCGGGAACTCAATAGTTCGGGGTAACCTGCGTAGTCTAGAGTAACACAATTTATACTTTCGGTTATCCTTACTCATCGTCGAGCTCGGTAGCTCGACAATTCAGGTAACCTATACATTAAATTGCCCAGCTTGGAGCTCACTCACACTTAGAATTATCTTGCACTCAGGATTACTCAGAAAACTGTATATTTCATTAACAAAAAAAAAGTTTAAGTACAAGATTTTTACTAAAACCTGAGCTCAACGGCCCGGGAGAGTACACCCACAGTTCAAAAGAAAAAAGAGAAACAAGAAGCCATCACGCAGAGGGGTCCACCACTTCAACCTCGGTGTCGCTCTCCTCCCCTGAGGAGTCGGGCTCCTCATCCGCTGCCTTGGCCAACCCGGAGTCTAGGCCTGTCATCATAATCCCACCAAGGTCGAGATCGGGGAACTTCTGCCGAATCAGGTACCGGCACAGCTTGAACCCAGAGCGATAGGAGCTCGACACGTATTCGACCTGCAGGGCCTCGAACTCTGAAGACTCTTTGAAGCTCTTGACGGCCTTCTTCCTTTCATTTGCAATGATGGTCTCAAAGATCTCGATGCACTCCCTAACCGTGGCCTCGTGGTTCGCGACCTCTCGTTGAAGCCGCTCCTTCTCCTCTGTCAGTGCGGAGATCTGCCCTTCCTGGGACAAGATCATCTCCTTCTCCTCAGGGTGGAGCTTCTGCACTTCCGCCCTAGCCTCACGAGCTTCCCTTATGCGGATCGCTGTTTGACAGGCCAGCGCGTGACAAGCAGTGTTAGCCTACCAAAAGAAAACTGAGGTCAGTAAAAAAAAAAAAAAGAGAGAGAGAGAGAGAGAGGAAGCGAAGTACTTACCACCATACAGTGGCTGCCAACTAGTCCCAAGAGACAACCCGAAGACATCTCTGCCCACTTTGCGATCTCGTTAGGAAAGATGGCACCCTGACTCTTGCGCATGGCTTGAACGTGGTCCATGATGCTCTCTTTCACGCTCGGGAAATAACCCTCTGGTGCATCCGCCCCCACGGGTGCGGACGAATTCTCGGGCTCCTGGGGGCGAGCTCCCTCGTGATGGACCTCGTCCGCCTCGGGAGCAGCAGGTTGGGCCTCTTCCAGGGGAGGCGCAGTGGAGATCGGCTCCACGATCAAGACTTCAGGAGAGGAACCAGTCTCCTGGCACGGCCTCTTCACGGCCTTCTTCTTCCCCTTCTGTGAGCTCCTCAAAAGACTTTCGGCATTGACCGGCATGGTAGCTGCAAAAATGAAAAATAAGATTAGCCATGAACTAATCAGAATTTTAAGAAAGCAAAAAACCCAAGGTGACCTAACAGGACTCAAACCGGCCTGCGCGAGCTTGTCTTCTGCAAGGTAGTCCGCGTAGAGGAAGCCAACCTCCGCCCAAGACTTGAGCGTCTCCCTTGTCTTTAGGTCCAGTCTAACACTAGAATCCTGAATCGTCGGCCTCTAGTGGGTTGGGAAGGGCCACCCCTCGGGGTTACAAACTACGAAGTAATCCCATTTCTAGGCTGGGATCTTGTTGGGGAGTCCGTGCATATAGCTTGGGCGAGGGGACAGGTAATAAGTTCTCCTATGCTCGGGAAGAACACAAGAAGAGTTTTTCTTAATGGACAAAATAGAAGAAAAAATCTCAAGATCGAGGGGAAGACAGTACTCATAAAAAAGGGAGATGGTCCCTACTACGTTGCGGATAGAGTTCGGGTGTAACTGGTCTATGGCGATATCGAAGGACTTCAGAACCTCTACAATTAAAGGGTGTAAGGGAAGACGAAGACCAGCCATGAGCTGCTCTTCGAAAATCACGATCTCGTTGTGATCGTGTTTCCAAGGGAAGTTACCTGAGGGGAGACTGTAGTAGAACTCCCTCGGGAGGTTGTATCGGCAAACTAAGGCCTGAAGCCGGTCCAAAGTCATTGTTGAAGGGCAAAAGTTGTCCGGCACCCGACCTTGGTGAGAAGTGGATGCCAGACTACCCGAGACCTCCCGGGCCTCCTGAGGTGCCTGTACATCGGGAAGGCCACGGACTGCCTCTATGCCCAGAGTAGCCTCATCTTGGCTACCGACCTGGGCCGAAGTACCCTCCTCGGCCTCATCAGGAAGACTATCGAAACTAGAAGACGACATGGAATTGAACAGAACTGAAAAGAAAATTGAAGGAAGACTCACCAAAGAGAGACGGCCGGATTAGAGGGAAGTGGCAAACTAGAAAACCCGAGCTAAAGAAGCTAAGCGCGACCTCAGATCGAAGACTAGTAAGCTTGTGGTGAAGGAAATGAGTCTCGGGTCTCCCTATTTATAGCCACTATATCGAAGAAGCAATGATTGAGATCAAAGCAATCCGAGGCTCCTAAGAAAACTGGTTGCACGACCCTCGAGATCGAAATTAGTTTAGCGCGTTTTTTGGCATCTGCAGAGTCTATAGATAGCTTGACGTCCGTGCGTTAACCACACGCGACACATCTGACAGAACACCTAGGCTTTGAGCCAAATCCACTTGGCATATCATGAACTCCCCGAACCAAGTCAAGACCCCTAGCTCGAGGAGTGGGGGGCAATTGATGAAGGAGAATTTGGCTCGACCTCATGACAGGGAGACACGTGGACGTGACTCAGCGTGAGCGACAAGTCGACGTAATCAGATCGGCACGTGGACATGACTCAACACGGGTGACAGCTCAGCATAAATCAGCTCGCTACAAAACGAGCTGGGGTACGCCAAGTACCCCAAACTAAAGTCACTTCGGGACTAAGATTGTCCTGGTACCAGATCGCGACCAGGCTAATGGAACCAAGTTCATTACAAATCTAGCCCGGACAGATGAATCACCTCGGTCCAAGGGCACTTCGGCATTCATGTCAGGGGCAGACCAGAGCACAAGCTTGAGAAGCTCGCCATCAAGCAGCCCGGTATCCTACAAGTAGCTTGCCTAACATTCAGACCTCCGCATGGCAACCTCAAGGAACACACCTCCGTACCCTGTATCCCGCAGGACCGTACTTATAATGGTAACATTAGTTCACCAACTCCCCGTTCTGACGGGAAGTGACAGTATTACCGTTTGACGGCATTTCATCCACCTAACACGCAACAGGTCCCATCCCAACCGGGATCCAGTGACCGTTTCACCAACCCACCTGGGCCACAGTATAAAAAGACTCCCCCCCAGGGGCGAAGGTACGTTCTATTATTATTGTTGTGTGTATAATCTTCACTCTCTAAGCTCTCCCACTGTTATCATCTTTAAGCTCTCTACTATCACTGTGCTCTAACTTAGCCATCGGAGTATCCTCTCCGGGTAAGCCACCCCGGGATCTCTGACTCATCTCTTTCAGGAACCTAGTTCTCATCGTTGCTAGTAGCTAGGTCATATCCAGCAGGGAGTAGCCGGATTACGCCACATCACATGGTTTTCTTTGATCACTCGAGCCCATAAGCCATTTACAAATGCGAATAGTCTCCACACTTGATTTTTTTCTTCAAGTGAAAGAGGATGTTTCCTTCACACATGGTTTTCTTTGATCACACAAGCCCAAAAACCATTCACAGAGGTGAAAAGTCTCCACACTTGTTTGGTAAATAGTGCCTCGTTGAATTCCCCCGTTTTTCTAAATCCTAAACCCCCATCTCTTTTGGGCTTGCAAGCTTTTCCCATGCTATTGTACGCATGGATGATTTCCGTTTGGTTCGTAATTGGAATCGGAATGGTCTATTCCCATTGTCTATTTGGTCCAAACAAAAATGGGAATGAAAATTAGAATCAAGAGGAATGAGATTTAATTCCCAAAGAAGAGGGGAATGTCATTCCACCAGGAATGGGAATGGAATTCTAATTCCACCCAAACAAACAGTTGAAATCAGAATAGTCCATTTCAATTCTGATTCTAGATCCCTATTTGGTAAAAAAGAGGAGTGAACCCATCAGGTCCAAAAGCAGAATGAGCTCTCATAGAATTAACTACCTCTTCAATCTCTCATCCAAGGGAGGAATTATTAAATCAGCTGCTTCAAACTACTCTGTTAATTTGACTTGTATCAGCTGTAGGATTTCAATTTCATCTTCTATCCTCTCTCCACTAGTTTGAATGCTACGGTTTTTAAAAGCATTTGCAACATCTTCTAAACTCATATTTACCGTCTTCTCATTTTTCTTCATTTCTTTTAAATTTTGTGAATTGGTAAAAATAATTTGTATTTCTACCACCCTCTTTTCCCTAGATTATAATCTCCATAGCACAGCCATTTTTCATACCCCCTTCTTAATTCTATTCTTTCATTATTTCTACTTGATACCCATTCACGTCTTCTACATCTAACAAAGATTTCTAAACTAGAGGATGACACCACTCATCGTGTTAAATATTGGTTTCAAACTCCCAATAGATAATGGCTTCGGAGGTTTATAATGTTAATTAGTTGATGTATGGGAAACATACAACTACACAAGGATTCGCATATTTGTGGTGGTAACATCATCTTTATAACTAAACCCTTCAAGTCTGCCACACTTGGGTAAAAGCCAGATATTATAAGTGTATTAACAAGTTATCACACGGAACATGGCCTCACCTAAACTTCTCCCTCCTTAAGGGTTTTCTTTTTTTTTTTTTTCTACGGGCTTGCAGCTGTAATACGTCTTGGAACTAAGGGCTAGCATCCACAAAATGATGGTAGCAATTCTTTGCTTGAACCACCACCAAAGGACCATAATCTACTAGTCTGATGGGTGATAGAATATTATTATCCAGCCTGCTTAGCACATGATAGTGTGGTGTGGTAGAACCCACGCACAACCCATGGTTGCATCATCATCCAAAGGAGGATTGAACAGCAGCTCATCAACCGAAACCAGGGGGTACATCAGGGTCCTCATCACTGCCATCACATGGGTGGTGATCATGATCAACATATGCAGCAAAGCCAGGTGGGATACTTGGACCACTGTCATTCAGTTCTGATGCATCATCGTGTGGATGACGAGGTTCTTCCATTTTTCCCTCCTCGTGTCCTTGCTCATGACCCATGGGCTTTGGTGACTGATCTTGGCATTCATTCCAGCGATTGTTGCCTTGATGACTGCATAGAGAGAAACCTGGTGGTTCTTCTGGTTCAATATCAGATGACGTAACTTCTCTTTCAGAGGAAGGGATTGCAGGAGAACCATTACTACTTGCAGCTTCCTTCTTAACTGTGCTTGGATTTTTAGGGGAGGATACTTCAGTAACTTCCTTCTTTGGGTTCACTAGCTTATTATACACAGATTGTACTGTATCAGTGATTTCATTTTTCATGCCGTCACTTGATCTGATTACTTTCCAAAGTCTATCAGAAATCTGGCCCATAACTTTTTCCCTGTAGATGCCAAGAACTATAGTTAGTTACATGGCAACCTCTCGCAAATGAAACAATGTAAGTTACAGGTTCCATCTGTGGCATTTTTTCCAAGACACTCACAAAGGTTGAAATGCCTCATAAGAAAAAAGATAGTAAATAATTAAAAGCAGACTCTAGAAACTCCACAACTTACCCCATCTCTTCGTGAATGGCATCAGAGAGTTGTCTAGGTTTCAAGTTCTCAGCTCCTGGACGATTAAGTGCTGCTGACTGCTTCACCATTGAGACAATACTGTTACGCAAGTCTTCCTGCAGCAGAATCCCTTGCTCAGTAATTAATAACAAAAACTCATTAACCAGATAGCATGCACATTTTTTTAAAAGGAAAGAAATACTGTTTTTCTGTATATAGCAAGTGAATACAAGGCTCTGTACAATGGATATATATATATCATAAATTAGCGTCAAAATGTCCAAAAAGAAGTATTTGTCAAAGTCAAAATGAGTTGTTTGGTATTCTTTTGAATAACACATCAGCTGATAGCCAAGAGCTAAGAGCACCATATATCCCAGGGTAGTTTCCTAGGTTCCATAACCATCTTTCCTTAATAATTATTCATAAGAGAAGTATAAATTTCATGTTTAAGTCTAGAAAATCAACATTTTATGAGAAGAAAAACAACAAAGGAAAGAAAATTCAAAAAAGATAGGGGCTGAACCCCTACTTTTGTTATAGGAAAGAAGAAAAGAAAAAGTGGAAGAAGAATAAGATGTGGAAGAAGAAAATGTGTTGATTAGACAAAATTTTAAGTTCTTCCCTTGCATATTGGTTCAGGTTTTGAAATTTTTAAGGGTTCAATCATGGATCAAAATTTCAATACGATACGCCCCGTATCGGGTGTATTGTATTTTATCTTTGGGGTCCTGATACCTGTTTACAGGTGTTTTCGGGGACCCATTTTTTTTAAATATATATATATAAAATAGGGGGAGTATCGTTATAAGTACCGATACACCTCCGCCAATACACAGACGTGTATCGATACTTTGAACCATGGGTTCAATACAGCAGTTAGCAATGTTTGCGTTGACTAAACCCTAACAAAATAAGAAAATAATAAAAAGAAATCAGTATATAAACACATAAAATGAATATTCTAGTTTAATAATATCTATTTTATAATTATAATGTCAAAAAATTAAAAATATAAAAGTATTTTATAACCCAATGCACAAAACTGCTTGGCAACTGGGCAAGGCAAGCCTCCAAGGGCACCTGGTCACCTAGGTGTTGCCTTGACAACTATGTTCAACAGTATCTAGAAAGCATCCTTTCAAGCCAAATATCATCAACATATGCACATATATGTAAATAAGTACTGGATCTATACGATGCTTATGCCATCTTTGTTATGTTTTCTGTGTTACTTGAGGTATTCCACTGGATTACTTAATAGTTATCCCCATGTTAAGTGCCCTAAATTGGAAGGTCAAATCTTAAGCCAAAATGGGAAGAGAACCATAATTTTCAAGGCGCCAAGGTGAGGCTAGGCGACAGGGGGGCGCCTTGTCGCCTAGTCACCTAGGCGTCGCCTAGGCGATGGATTTTTTTATGTAGAAAATATAGATCCTAGGATAGTTCCCTAAGTACCATAACCATATTTCCTTAATAATTATTCATAATTTTCATAAGAAAAATATAGAGTTCGTGTTAAAGTATAGAAAACCAACAAATTCAGGAGAAGAAAAAGAAGAAGGAAAAGAAAATTCAAAAAATATAGGGGCTGAACTCTTATTTTTATTATAGGAAAAGAAGAAAAGAAAATGTGTTGATTAGAAAATGTGTGGTAGTAGTAGTAGTGGTAGTAGTAGTAGTAGTAGTAGTAGAAAATGTGTTGATTAGACAAAATTTTAAGTTCTTCCTTACTTATTGGTTCAGGTTTTAAAGTCTTTGGGGGTTCAATACAACATTTAGCAATGTTTATATTGATTAAACCCTAACAAATAAGAAAATAATAAAAAGAAATTAGTATATAAACACACAAAATGAATATTTTAGTTTAGTAGCACCTATTTTATAATTATAATGTCAAAAAATAAAGAATAAAAAAGTATTTTATAATATATAGTACAAAACTGCTTGGCGATTAGGCAAGGCGAGCCTCAAGGGCGCCTTGTCGCCTAGGCATCACCTTGACAACTATGAAGAGAACACATATAAAAATATTCTAACATCTTGAGCATCTTAAGAATGAGTTAAGAATAAGTATTTGCACATATCTACATGCAGGAACCAATAACCAATATGAATATTTAATAATTGTTTGTTTGTTTAACCCCGCTAGTAGTAGTATGTCTTATACTACAAGTCCCAAAGCCCAGTTAAAAGGAGGAGGGTTGTGTCAGGTTGGCAGCTGACAAAAAAACTTTAGCCAAACCAGTATGAATACAAGCAACCATCCCAAAAGGTTGGGACTAAAGTTGGGCTGAGTTGAGTATTATTTGCTTGTTTATGTTCATTTCCTTTTCTTTGGTAGAAACTTGTTTGTGTTCTTTTAGCTTTTCATATACTAATGGTAATAGCCCCATATTAAGAATATATTTTTGATGAATGAATGGTATTTTATTAAATAGAGATAGAAATAGTACAAACATGAAGAACCCTAAGACGAGGCACGAGGTGTTACCTCCCCTTAAAGGTGGTTCCAAACCCAACTCTTTTCAGATTGTAGTTACAAATTAGCCAAAAACAAAGAATCCCTTGAAGCCCCTTGTTTAGCTAAAGAATCTGCCACTCTAAATAATTTAAACCATCAAGAGGAATAACAACCATGGGAAAGGATAGGTCCACACCCCCACTCATTCCATTCAGCATTGAGGAAACACCGGATGTAGCAGAATCTTCACCACTCATGATTTCAGATTCAAAAACAACTCTTAAATGGGGTACACAGCCTTGAAGAAATTCAACACTGAGGGGGAATGAAAAAAAAAAAAAAAAATCTTCAGAAACACACCTTTTGTAAAAACACAGGTGTTGTTACAGCACTAACAGGTCATCCCTTGACTTACAAGCTCAACACAAGTGTTGGCACAATGCATACAAGTCATCTCTTGATCTACGCATCAACAGGACTGCTGTTACAGCAAGTACTGGTCACTTTCTAACTTTCAGTTCACCATAAAAGCTGTTGTTGCAGCACACAAGAGGAACTGGTCACTTTCTGACCCTCAGTTCACCATAAAAGCTGCTGTTGCAGCACACWAAAAGGTCCTCACGACCTACAGTTTCATAGGGATCAGTCGACCCCACAAAAAAGGAAAGAAAGAGGTGCTGATCACCTCACATCCAATCTGCAGACCTAGTACAGGTTCTTCCCTGGCACACGACCAGAAAAAAAGGTAAGGGAGAGAGAAAAGTTACTTCAGTGTGTGAGATCTTCAATCAGCCGAACAGCAGATGAAGGCGGCAGATCTGGAAATCTGGTGCGAAGAAGAAAAAAACTGTTCACTCGACTTCTCCTTTCAGATCTGATAGTCCCGCTCTGATACCATGTTATGCAAGAGAGAATAATGGAAGAAGAGAGAAAAGAGAGAGAGAAGAAGAGAGAAGAGAGAACTGAGAGCAAAAGATCCTGCTGGCGGCGCAACTTTTTAATATATATACTAGGGTGACAGCAACTAAAATAAAAAGGAGTAAAAGTACAATAGTACCCCTGCGGTACTATACATAGGAAAAATAACAGTTGTTAACAATAACATTTTGAGACACATGCTTCCTTCAAGAGAAAGTTATTCCAAAAAGATCTGCATGCCTTTGTTGAATTGTGAAGACTGACTAACAATTTGCTACTATTCTACTAAACATATATGCCTTGCTTAGAGGTTGTTGAGAAATGCAATATCTATATGTGCAGACATACATGTAATTATATCATGCCCCATCAAGGTGCAACTCTAGCTGGGTTGGATTAGATCTGTCAACCAGTCAATCAGGTTGGGTCCAGATCAGCTTAGACCTAATCTTGAACTAAGAAGAAAACAATTCTGGACCTGCTGTGACCAATTCACTGTAGTCATTGCCCCGATAACATTCAAGCAATAGTCACAAGCTTGCAAGAATGCTTCCCCTCGTGTGATAACTAGCAGAGAGTGCAAAGCCTTCTGGTACCCATTTTTTCCTAAAAAAAAAACCAAAACTAACCTTTTCTGTGGCACAACCCATCTCTCTCTCCCTAATAGGTATAACCACAGAAGTTATTTTTATGCCGGCAGAGTGGTTTCAGAATCCTTTTGAATTGAGGAATTTATCTTAGAACATAAAGAAGCTTCTCATGTTTTGTAAGCTAATTAATAGTGGTGTCCGGAAGAGAGGAGATCGATTAAAGAAGTGAGTGAGAGAGTGGAGGAGAGGAAGTGAAAGGATAGATTTACAACCAATGGATGAAGGGAAACCAGGGCTCATGAAAAGGGCTGCAACGTCTAAACTCTAAAATAATCCTCTGTGTGCTATCTTAAGAAATACCCAGAAAAGGAAAAAAAAGAAAAAAAAAAGTAAACTTACTTGTTCCTAAATAACATCTGACTACATGCAATGAAACAGTAAGATTAGAGTGTGGAGTTTTTTGCATAAAAGCTGGGTTTTAAGAATTGTTTTCACATTCCATTATATTTGAAAGCTGATTTGCTTGCTTTTGGGAGCCTTCTCTAGTTTTATTTGATGATCTAGTTTCACCCAACTGCAGAAAAGCAAAGCAAATCTAGAAAATAGAAGCTTGCTAAATCCCCACCCAAGCTTTTCTGTGTGAGATATGTTAGAAACCACTGCCATCTTCTAGGATAACAACAGGATGTATTAGGAAAGTCCACATCTGATGTACCTTGAGGCTCAATTGCTCAAAAATCTTGTACAAGATGTGTTATAAGAAGACTGTGAAAGAGAGACATGGAAGGCTTAACATCACCCGCTAGCCATCACATGAGGGGCAGCATTCGCATAAGCTTGTGGCTACTTGTTTGAATATTATTGGGAATACTGCAATGACCATAGTGAATTGGTCAGAGAAGATCCAGACTTAAGAAAAAACCCAGACCCAGTTCTGAAGCAGACCTTATAAGTAATAGACATGGAACTGAGTCTAGTATGGATAGAGACATATGGCTCCAATTATAGAGAAACAAAAAGCAATAAGCTTCTTTTCTTAATTTGAATAGTTACCTGGTCTAATTAAATTTAAACCTTAAAAATAGATTAATGCCTGATGCAGTAAAATGTTCTTCCATGTGTATAAGACACATTATATTGATAAAAAATAATTACTTTTCCAAAGTCAAAAGAATGATCCAGTAGCAACTAGCAAAAATAAAGGATTTCTAACAAGATTCAAGCTTTTAAACATAAAGATACTGAAGAGAGGTTCAGGATTAGGGTTTTAGAGTTTTAAAATTAGAACAAATATAAAATATGCCCCAGAGTTTTAGTTCTCCTTCTCACTCTTAGCTCTAAATCTCAGCCATTCAATGTAAATCCACACTACCAAATTGATAAGCAAGACATGACTTAAAAGACAGAAAGTGGATTGAATGATCATTACATGAAATATCATACTCATTTTTATTTTAAGTAGATCTATGTATTAGATTTATGGATGCATACAAATATACCAGATAAGTTATTTGTGTTACATTACATGTTAGTTGTTACAACTATGTGCCATACTAAACTCGGCTCATGCTGTCTCGGGCTGCCCAACTTCAATCCAAGCCCAACCCAGATCTGAGTTCAGGTTGCCATTTTCTAACCAAATTCTAAGCCCATGTTCAACACAAACCAACGCAACCCAACCCAACCTGTTATGGCATGGATATGGCCGCGAAACTTCGAATATGTTGTCTTCTTTGTTTCAATTCCCAAACACAAGACAGTAAAAAGAAGTGTACTTTGCGAAGAAAGTTTTTTTTTTCCGATTATGTCATGGAACACATCACAAACTTCTGTTTATCCATCAAATTTCAAAGTTCGGCCAGTTAAGCCAATTCTTTGGTCAGGCATTTCTACAAACATGTTTTGTAATCTGATCTGATTGAGAAACTTAACGAGGACGTAACGCATAAAATATATTCTGGTATTGGCAGTAGATTAAACATTAGACTGAAAATTTTCAGAACGATAATAAATTGAGTATAGTTTGAAAATTACTGAAATGAATTCCAAAGGAAATGAGTGATAGAAGTTGAAGAATGGATATTGAAGGATAAAGGAGGAAAAGGACTGACGTTTTCCTTCAGCTTACGGATGATCTTGAGGCGGAGCTTGTCGAAATCTCCATCATCCTTGAGCTTCGCTATCACCTCCTCTGCTCTCACCTCGGGATCGCTTTCCATTCCTTGCCCTTCTTCGAACCGTCCGTCACGCTTTCGCCGTCAGCTTTGCCCTAACAAATAGCCACAGAACAGTTACAAAGACAGAGTTGGGGTCTCCTGCCAACATAACACATTCCAACAGGCAACAACCAATCAGCATGATCTGGGACCCGCCATGTATGAAATATCAGGAAACGGACCTGAAATTGCTAAACTGTCGTGTGCAGACACTCCCAAAACAGTCCAACAACCAAAATGACCCTGAGATATGTGGTGTCAAATGATACTGAAATGGTATTAAAATTTAAAATGTAAAAAAGTGGGACCTACCATATATGAGATATGTGAAACTAGCCTTGCATTGGGAATATCTCTTCATGAAATAAAGTAAAGAAAGTACTAAAATGTTTTCAATGCAAAGTTGTAAAAGCTGTTAGAACTTTGTTAGGATGGACCTTGCACTGACTGAAGCCAATCTCAAGATATGTGTGGCGTTAAATTATGTTGGGAGGGTATTGGATTTAGAACATATTTTGTTGACAAGTGATCGGGATTCAGACAGAATTGAGATCTGCTACCAACATTGTTGTGTTGAATGACAATCGCACGTTGGGAACATCTCCCTATAAATGACAAGGAAATATTCCCAATCCATGGCTGCAGTGGCCTCTTGGGACATTGTTGAGAGCATCTTATTGGTATCAACCCCTATCAGCAGTGGAGAGCCCAGAAAGTTAAAATCCTTTAACTGGATCCATCTATGGGGTGAGCATTCAGTTTATTTGGTTAAAAATCAAAGTGAATAAATCAAAAAAAATTAAATCGAAACTAAATTATAGAAAACTAAAATAATCAAAACCAAAATTTTTTATTTGGTTTCTTATTATTTTGGTTAAAACCAAATTTTAATAATGTATGTACATAAATAATATAGGGCCTTTTACATAAAAAATGATGAAGTTTGGTCATTTAACAAAATCAGATACATTTAAAAAAAAAAAACAAAAAACAAAATAGTGAGTCAGAGAAGTTTTTCTTTCTTTTGGACTAAGATACCCCCAATTAAAATATTAGTCCACAGAGCCATTTTTCTTTCATCTTCTTCCTCTTATTGTCCCCTAATTTCCCCTATTGAGCCAGGATCTTAGGCTTTTAGTAGGTACCCCAATTTCACGATCAATTTCAATGTGAATGGTTAGAACATAAACAAAAAATTTTAATTTTCATTTAGATTAGGTTAATTTAAGTTACAAAAGTGATCATTAGCACTAAGTAGATCTTTGACATCGGTGCTGTAAGCACCGCTTTTTGTTTTTTGTTTGGAAATAGAGTTCTGCACATAGGTTGTTTTCTAAGAAAACAGCACTGGTTTTGTTTGGTACCAATGTTATAGAACCGTTTTCAGCATTGGCCTATATTATCCAATGTCCAAGATCATGCCATATCATTGCACCGCTAGCAGCAATATGTCATTTTCTCAAAAAACATTGAATTTGACATTGCTCAAGACCACACTTTCCCCAATTTCCAAGGCATGGTTTGGAACAACATTTTTTTCTGGAAAAACAGTACCAAACAAGATGACGTTTTTTGAAGCACCACATTTTCTGATGTGGTGCTTGCATGGCATCGTTTTCTCAAAAAATGGCATCGATGCCAAACATCACCTAAAATATTGGTTGCTAGATACCACAATTAGGCCTATTTCATGTAGATTTTCGTTGTCATCATAGACGATGATGAGACAAGAAAATCTCCACATACACATTCTTAACTCCATTTTTGTAGAAATGTAGAGTTTTACGTACATGCAGTTATACTAATAGAAACAAAACACATTTTAAGGACGTGTTGTTGGAGCAAATAAGATTATGCTTTGATCTCAAAACTATAGCTTGCATTTAACACTTGATCAGTATTCAAAAAAGAAAATCCCAATTTTATTTATCAAAAGAAAAAACTCTTTTTTCTAATTTCTAAGGTCCCGTTCGTTTTTCGATAAATTATCCAGGTAAATGTACTTACTTGGGTAAGTGTTTTTTGCAAAAAATTTATCCATGCATTTACCCATGTTCTTTTATTTTTCAGGTAAATAAAATAATGGTCATTTTAGCCATTAAAATTCTATAATCAAAAGGGGCATTTTTGTCCAATCCAAGTTTTAGCAACTTTTGATTTACCACCACCTAGGGGATCAGTATCACTTTCCTAGTAAACTAAACTTTTCCTTGTCCCCACATAAACAAGAAAAAAGAACATAAATTTCTTGGTCAATAGAACTTTCCTCCCTCTCAAAATCTAAAAAACGAATGCTCCTTAACTATATATTTCCTGATTTGTTAAGGGAAATCTTTGTTATGTTTTTTTGAAACCTTAATGTGTTTTCTAGAAGTTGCAGAATCTTATTTTGGAGTTGAATCAAGACGTCTAAAATTTGATTCTGGAATAGGATTTTCCTATGGAAATCATCTAATGTTAAAAGCAGAAAAGAATTTAAACTGGTTGGAGCCTAGAGGATCTCCTCTAGGCGGACTACAGTGAAGAGCAGTCGGATTGGAGTAAAGTGAATGGGGGTAGGGTTGGAGTCGCATATTTGTCTCTCAAGTTATGTTTAGCAAAGAGGAGTGAACAGGGGATAGGTTTAGATGTTAGATGGAACCCAAAAAGATTGGAGTCACATATTTGTCTCAGGACTCAGTGTTAAAAGTCAAAACAAACTAGAGACAGCGTTAGGAGGAATAAGAAGATGAATAATAAGCTCCTCCTCCCTTCTCAATTCGATGGAAAAAGGGTAATTTGGTCAAAAAACTCTTGCTTACCGTTTTGGTAATCTATTTCAAAAGGTATCAGAATTTGCAAATTTATGAAACTTTATTAATTTTCTCGTTACATGCCCTAAATAATATAATATATTATACATTATATATCAAAGTTTTAACTGAATTTCTAATTTTAAAAATCGAATCAACAAAAACCAAAATTTTTGGTTTAGTTTTAAAGTTTTAACTAAATTATGCTCACCCCTGGATGGTGCATGTGGGTATTGGCTATGGGACCAATTCGGCCCAAAACCAATGAAGAATATCCGGGGGGGTTTATTTTTTCTTTGTTTTTTTTTTTACTGATCGGGTGGTTTTATTTCAATTGAATTTTCAAAACTAGTATTAGATTAAAATAATACAAAGAAGCAGTGATTTCCAGTATTCTTTTCATTTGGGATTTATTTACTACCATATGAATCAAAAGCTTCCCGGTCTTAACTCCTAAGTCTTAAGTAAGGGCTGGTTTAATATTATTACCCCCCTGCAAAAAAAAAAAAGCAAATAAACAAACAAACATACGAACAAATAAAATTTGGCTGTTGTTTTCTATTTTCTTTGCTGAAGGACAGCAAATTAAGCGTCTGTTTGGCATCGTCGTTGCTCTAGAAAATAATGTCACATCAGTATTACATCAGAAAAAACAGTGCTTGAGAAAATGGGACAGAAAAAGTTGTTGTTGTTCCAGAAAATGTCCTACCTGATAGCAACGATACCAAACAAATAAAAAGGCATAATTTTCTGAGAAAACGGTGCTTCCAACCCACACACCAGCAGCACCGTTTTCTCAGCATCGGTGCCAAACATATACTAAGCGTCTGTTTAGTGAGTACTGTCTGTTTGGACTTTCAGTGGTTTTCATCAAATGTCGCTTATGTTCCCGGTTGGGAGGGTTTACTGACAGTGACTTCTCGCATTGAGCCCTGCTTGGTGAAAATCTGGAAAGTTGACATCGACTTTCATTGAGATGGTTAAATGACTCTCCTGTGAAGCTATTCTTAGTAGGTGTTTGGGATCGATGCCTTTTCCTCTGGTGTCACATCAGAAATCCATTTTTTGATGTGGCATGAGAAAATACCCTCTTTTGGTACCAAATAGAAACAACAATGTATCAATCCCAAACAGAAAACACTTATATGACAGAAACAACAAGGTACCAAATAGAAAACTTGAGAACAGTTTTTGAAAAAAAAACATACTTATGCAACATGGTTTTCTCAGAAAATGCTTCTTAGGAAACAGCATCAATCCCAAACACCGCCAATGGTTCATCAGAAACTCAGCTGGGCAACTTGATCATTAATACAAAAAGTATCCTCAATCTTTTTCCAAAATCACATACAGTATCCATTGAAAGATCAAAGGACATGTGAAAGACGTATTTCTTCTTTCTTCTGTGTTCCTTCTACTTCCCTTTATGCACTGAAGAAGAAAAAACATTCCTTGTTATTCCCAAACAAGTTTTAGCTTAAAAAAAGCATAAACATTAAAGAAATAACATTGCAAAGTTTTCTCTCTCTTCATCTTTCTTCTTTTTCTCCAAAATCTCTGATTTTTGTTTTTTTGTTTATTTTAAGTTTTTCCTCAACTCATTACCATGATAATAGGGATGCTTGACCTACAAAAAGTTAAACTTTGATAGACTACCATCTCTTATTTGTTCTTTTCTTTTCTTTTCCACTGTTCCACTCGTAAGATATAACCATGAATAATGGCAAAGCTTTCACATATGTAGGAAATAACCAAACTTCAGAAATAAAGGCATACTTGTGTATAGACAATCTCTCCCTTTTGCAATTAATTACCAAGAAAACTCATATGGAAAGATTATAAGTCTCTTTTTTTGGGCATCTTCCCAATTAACTGATCTGTTCAATCATTTAACATGATTTTACCAAACATGGCTTAGGTGATAGCAATTTTTGATAAGCTGCTCAACGAAAGCTCTAGTAGCTTAACCATAGCAGCTCAAAGAAAGCTGAAGCCCTCCCAAACAGGACCTCTCTTGTTTGAGTGAGGCCAATCTCATAAAGCTGAAAGCCGTCATGAAAAAGCCCTTCCAAATGGAATAAAGCTTTGCTGTTTGGGAGCTTTCTGTGCATGAGACATTATTTCAGCCAATTTCTTGCTTGTCTTTAAGCTGTGTTTGCTTGCAATACAATTTCATTTAAATTAATACAAATGTATAGGAGTACAAATGAAAATAAAACAAAATAAAGTAAATTTTAAAATAAAAATAAATCATAATTTGCACTGAAATCATTTGCAGTAATATAATTTTGCATCAGTGCAAATAAATTTACATTGCAACCAAACAAACACAGCTTTAATTACGACTAAAAGAATATTAATTGTAAATACTATTTTACCCCTCACCCGTAGTAATGTATCATATGCAAGCTTTTCTATTCCAAACAAGCACTAAGGAATGTTTGTAACTTTGTATCAGAAACTACTGGTTTTGAAATTGTTAGACTTTGGAGAATTAATTACATCGTCGTGAACTCGTGATATGATGCATCATCAAAACCAGAGGTTAGACTTAAACAATTTGACCTATGAACCGGTGGCCTATCAAGTTTTGTCAACGACGTTCCAAGTTTTTTCCAGCCACGTTTGTATTTCTCTCTTCTCTGGTCCTTTGTTCTGTCACAGCTTTCTCCACCCCAGTAATGGTCAATTCAACTGTCTGGCGATCTTCCAGTCTTGAGTCGTTGTATATAGACAATCCCTGTTAACAGCAGATCCAGAGCTACAGAATCCATGGCCACCAGTAGTTGCGTCAACACAAGCCAATTTAGAGATGATGGGTTGATTGTTGTGATCGCTGCAAATCTCGTTGCCAGACGTTGCCAGAGAAACAACAGACTAAAAACAATTCCTGAATCTGTCTGTTGCTTTCCTCAGTTCATTCAGCAAACTTTGTTTTTGTGAAAATAAAAAAAAAAAAGAAATTCCTTCCTTTTTCGTCAATTCACACAAATCCTTTTTTGCTTTTTTTCCCCTGTAAAGTATGAGTTTAACGATTCCAAGTACACGTGGACACGTTGCGATCGCGTCAAAATTAATTCCCAAAAGCAAAGCAGCAGGCAATCTCCAGGGGTATTACCAGTAATTAATTATCTCTAATAACCTCAGCTCAAAGATACCTGATACCTGCGCATGATGATCAGCACAGTACAGTACAGTACAGTTGATGATAAGCGTGAGCCAACAGTAAGCTACTAAAAGCAAGCAAGATCAGAGAAAGACGTCGAGCTTTTACATTTATATATTGGTAGCAGGAAGAACCGAAGAAGAGGAACCATTTCATTTGTCCACTGCTCAAGCTCGATTTCCTTTCTCGTTTTTGTCTATATGAGAATCGGTTAGATCAGATGGGCGGTATGGATTGTGGCTCATGTTACGATCATGCCTGAGTGAGCAAACTGTTTTTCTTTTTGATGGAAGTGGGCCATGGCGGCAATCATCGGATTGAGGGACATCTCTGCCGGCGATACCGGCTTGTACTCGCCGGCGAAGGATAAGGCCGCCAGTCGAGGTGTCTACAATAGCCGCTCGCCTCTTCTGCTCCGTCGGATCCGGCACTTGCTTCCGCCCTCTAAGGCTAAACTCCTTCTCGCCTTATGCATTCTCTTCGTCGTTTTTTTCATTGGCTCCAGGATCGGTTCTCTAATGGGATGGAACCCTCACTACTCTTCTTCCGTTTCCGCTCCGTCTAGGTAACCCTCCTTACATCTCTCTTCGAGTTGTTTCTTTCCCTCTTTCGTTCGATTGGATTAATCTGATATAACTTAGTTTTGGCTCAGTTATTATGAGTCTCAATTGTACTCCTTACAAATTGTTTTGGTAGATCGGTCAGGTCCGATTTTGACTATTAGCTTGCGAGCGAGCTGACCACAGTATTCTGTCCGTGCCACTACTCTGCTCTATTTTCTGTTTTCTTCATAGTACTTTGCCCCCAAAGATGAGGAATGTTGAGATTAATTGTTCTCTTCGTGACCCGGTAGTGATCATTCCTAAAATAGATCTTCCTGTTGGGATTTGAGGTATTAGTTCATTTAGGTACATGGTGGTGCATTTTTGGGTCTTTTATCAGTTCTTTACTGTAATGAGTATCAGCAATTTAGGATAGACTGCACTTCCGTAGCATGCCGGAGGAGCTAATTTTAGTTGGTTGCTATCAGCAATAAGCTTCTTCCATCTCGGTCTTGGGAGACTTCCTTCTCCATCATCATTTCTCCTTTTGAATTATCTGGGAAGAATCTCCTTTGTTGTTCTTATCAAAAAAAAAAAAAAGACTCCTTTGTTGCACTTGTAAAATGCTGCCTATTCAAGCATGTGGTTCGAGATTACTTCTAGTACACTTTTCAAGCATGTGGTTCTGCTCCGTTTGTAGGGCTGAGTTAGAATACAGGAAAGTAATGCAATGACTAGGTAAGTCATGAAAAGGTCTGAGTTAGTTTAAATAGTGAAGTCTTTTGGTGCTTTTATGCAGGAAAGGTTTCTGGTGTATTCTCATTTTAACTACCACATATGATTGACTTCACTGATTTCTCTAAAAGACAAGAAAAAATAAATGCACTATGGGGCTTCAACAAGATGTTGGTATTTTACTTGCCTTCCAAATTTCCCATCTTTAGAGTTACACCGGAAAACACAATTACAGATGCCTAATATCTTTATTTTACTAGATTTCGCTTCTTTAATTGTGGACTCGTTTGTCTATTTAAAGATGCCTAATACCTATATAATCATTTTAATCTGTATTATTATCAGAATTTATTTAGCACAGTTGCATATGATACTACCTCGAGGGGGACAAAATTGAGCCTTCTGATCATCCATAGTTAGATACAGTTGTCCTATAGCCTGCCCAGGAATGGGTCATCCTGCTAACATAATCATTTGTCAAGATATAATCTGATGTTAACAGGGTGACTCCAGCTCACTCCAAAACCACCCATAAAATGTGACTACAAATTATGAAGGAATGATTAATGAATTAGAAGCTGCATACTGGCTCTTCACTTCTATCACTCTTGATTTATTTATCTGGAGACCTGATGATTGGTTGCTAGAATTTTATCCAATCATGCAATCTGCACAAGGAATGCAACTTCAGAAAGGGCTTGTGATTTCCAAATAAAACATAATAGGAATGAGCCATCTCCTTTCCTACCCCTACCAGGCCCAAATAGACAAAGGTTGTGTTGTCTTAACAATCCATGAAACACCACCAATACCAGAAGAACTGGCTGCATGTTTAGTGACCATCAAATTCAGCTTGATATCTTGTGCTTGTTAAGAAGAATAAAACCAAAAGCAGTATGACCTGCTTTAGGGTGATGCTGGCCCACAACAATTATTTTTAAACGAACCATCTAATGGATGGAATGTTCGATCATCTAGTGTGGTTGTCAATAACAAATCCCATTCATGTGGAATGTTACCTTCTTTCTCAAAAAAGAAAAAAAAAAAAATTTGATCATATGTCTTGGCCGTCAAATACTAGGTTTGTATTTGGAGAGCATACAGACAAGTTTCATATCTTCTATATGATTCCAGCCACACAATCATACCCACATGTTCAAATAAACAATGGCATAAAGGAGAAAAAGAATGAAGTGGGTATGTGGTCATTCAATTCAACTTTAAGTGCTAGGCTGCGCTTCAATTAGCTGCAACATAAAAGCTACAACTATTTCCTAACAGCCTAAGTAAGCTTTTTGTCTGGATTGGATCATATTTTCCATACCTCATTGACAGCAAGGAACAAATCCCACCTTTGTTTTGCAATTCCCAGTTAGTTTGATTTTTTTTCCTGGATTGGATCATGTTATCCATACCTCATTGAGAGCAAGGAACAAATCCCATTATTGTTTTGCAATTCACAGTTTGCTTTTCTGCTTCATAGACTTGCCTCTACATACCAATTTTATCTGGTTGGCCATTTTCTCCAAGGCTATGCTTGGTTTGATGGAAAAGAAGAGGGAAAGAGAAAGTTAAGGGAAAGTTCTTAACAAAATTTGTGAAATTCCTTAAGAAATTTTCCTCAATTCTGTTTCTTTCTTATTTTCTACCAAACCAAACACAGCCTCAAAGAATTAATGTTCTCATATTGCTTTATTGATTCCCCTCTATTAGTTATTTTTCTTTGCATATGTTCTTCCAGTGTTTTGATAGCATTTCTGTCTATCTGGCAGGGGTGGATACACAGTTTTGATTAACACATGGAAGCGTAATTCTCTCCTTAAGCAAGCTGTAGCCCACTATGCATCTTGTAGTGGAACTGATGCAATACATGTTGTATGGAGTGAGAGTGATCCACCATCAGACAGCCTAAAAGCCTATCTTAAGAATATTGTATTCTCAAAGTCACAGACTGCACACAAACCTAATTTTAGGTTTGACCTAAATGAGGAGGATAATCTGAATAATAGATTTAAGCCAATTGTGGACCTCAGGACAGATGCAATCTTTTCTGTTGATGATGACGTAATTGTTCCTTGCCATACTCTGGAGTTTGCATTTAGTGTGTGGCAAAGTGCTTCTTCCACAATGGTGGGATTTGTTCCCCGCATGCATTGGCTGGATGTAGAGGTGAGTGATTTCCTTTCCTATAATATTGTCCTTGTGAGGTTTCACCTTTGAATTTGTTCTTGTTGAAAAATTTCTGATGATAGCTTCTCTGGTTATGATACATACTGTGTCAAGAAGCTATGCACCTACCTCACTCACTAGTAAAATTGTAGAAAAACCTCTGTTTATAATTCCCTTTCATGGTGCTCTGGTAATATGTGCTTGAACCAGAGATCTCATGGTTGTGACATCCAATCAATAAATAACCTCCTCCTCCTCATCATCATCATCTAAGTCTTATCTCAACTATATGGGGTCGGCTACATGAATCTTGTTTCGCCAAATGAAGATTTGAAATCCAGTACATTATCTGATGTGGAGGCCATTGCCTGGTGCAAAGGTAAAATCTTGGTCCAATGTGTGAGGATATGGTTTTGAGCCTGAGGGTGGCCACTACATGCAAAAAATACCCCTCCCAAAACCATGGATAAATGGAACCAGCATCAGGTAATGGCCTTTACATATATTTTGATGCATCTCGATTACTCTGCTGTAACAAATCACTTCTTCTACTGGAGCTGTTGGTGGTCTTCTATGCTTAATAATCTATAGTTACTAACTAAAAAAATAATACCTTAGAGTTTAACTTCCTTTTTCCTTTATCTTTCTAATATTCATCATAAGAGGAGGTAGGCAATTAATTTACATGGCAATTGTTTGTCTATGCAAATAGAAAGATTTGACACCAGTAATCTGTTGCAATTCTTGGGTATACAAGTGTTTTTTATCAGGTCCACCAGTTCAGTCTGGTATGTTTCCCTTGCTCCATGGCTTTGCTGCCCATTGCCTAACCCTATGCTGTATGAACTGCTGACTAAATGCCACTTGATCCCCATCAGGTTTCATTCCATGGTGCAGAAATGGGAAATCTGTAAACTCTTTCATATGAGTCCCATCCAGTCTGTTTGAAGAGAGAAAATTAACTGTTTGACTATGAGTCTTTTCTTTCAATTACTTTATCCTTTTAGTGATAATAGACTGCACTGGTATAAAAAATCATTTAGAATCTGAAAGTTTGCTAAAAATATGGCTCCCATAACTTTGCTCATACTTTCCTCAAATAAAAGAAAATAATACTCTCATCGTTCTGGTCTTGAATCTGCATATATGGACTTGTAATCTTTATCAAAGTTCTGTATTAGTAATAGCTGTAAATGATTCTAACATATTCCACTTTTATTTAGTAGGTAGTTCAATGACAAATGCAGCTTTTTGGGAACCCATATTAATAATATGCAGTCATGGGTTTTCATGACTCACCATAGTGCTCTGAAACAAATATATGCATATATTGCCTTTTTTTTCTAAAACGTTTCTTTGCCCAAAACAGAAGGATGGTGTTGCATATTACAAATATGGAGGTTGGTGGTCAGTTTGGTGGATGGGCACTTACAGTATGGTCCTCTCAAAAGCATCATTCTTTCACAAGAAGTACTTGGATTTGTATACCTACAAGATGCCCTCATCCATATATGATTATGTAACAAGAGAAAGGTTTGCTGCCTTCTTCTAAGGAGAATAAAGTATTTTTGTGTGCTTACATGCCTGCCTGCATCTTCATGTTTGTACCTGAGAGAGAGATTGCATATCTATGTATTTAGTTCTTTTCTGCTTTCTTACAGAAACTGTGAAGACATTGCAATGTCTCTACTTGTTGCAAATGCCACTGGTGCACCTCCAATATGGGTTAAAGGTAATTTCTTCTATTTATGTAGCTCATGAAGACTTTGACTTCCTGCATTGTTCATGTATATGCTGGATTGCATGAAAAATTCTACGGCTCTACCAAATAAAATGGTTATGTAGTCCATCAATCTCAACACCTTTTCCACTACACTTCCCCTTATTCCCATGTCATTTTCTTGGCAATGTTAAACATTGACAGGCAGAGTCTCACAAAATCCTTTATGTTTTTTAAGTATTTTATGTATCTTTCTTTCTTGCTTATTTCCTTCTTGATTTTTTGTCTCCTATTAGGAAATGAAATCTTAGAATATTACTTTTTTTTTTCTATTTACACTGGCTCGAAGAACTTTTACCCAGCAACACATGGACCTATTATTATGTTGCATGGTGCAAACTATTCGAGTTCCAGAACCTCTTTTTATAGCTTCTTTATAGAACTTTGATGTTTGCATATAAAAAGGGAATAGTGCATGTAGTTTCTTTTTTTTTCCCAAATTACAGGTTCATTTCTCATTCCAAAACTCTCTTTTGTTGATGGGGTCAAATTAGCTTTATATATTTTTTGCATAAGGTTTCAATTAATTTGTGGGTTCCATGATTTAAACATCTATATTTCAATTTAATTGCTAACGAATAGGGTCTTTACATTTGCAGGGAAGATATATGAAATTGGATCATCGGGCATCAGCAGTCTGAAAGGACATAGTACAAGGAGGAAAAATTGCCTAAACGATTTCATTTCCCTCTATGGCACCGTGCCCCTAGTGCCAACAAATGTAAAAGCAGTGGATGCGGGACATGAGTGGTTCTGGTAGTTTACAAGGTGACTCCTGGCTCCATGTAACATCTGTTCATCCCTTATTACCTGTAACTTTTCCCCTGGTTCGGGAGCAAATACATGCAGGAAGATGGATCATGGCAAAGCTTTTTCCCCTATGAAACCCCCCAAAACAAACTACTGTGATATACTGGTATTGTTGGTTATTCTTTCATCTGCAGATAACACGATGAGAATGTTGTTTCACCCCTTGATTGACCATTTCAGGCATTCCCCCAGAATATTTTAGCATGTGAAAGAGAGTAACAAAATGCCCTCCCAGTGGAGAGTTTTGGAATGGTTTCTGAAATTAAGCATTTTGATTTTAGTCTGAAAGGTTTGGGGCGTGTGCGTGCTCCATTGGGGGCACTCCATCTCAGAATTCTGAATTTCATTGCAGATTTATAACAATTCAAATTTTCAAACACTTTCACCTATAACACCAATACCCGCCCGAGTATTGGCATCAATTCCAAACCGGCACCTAAGTAGTTTGTTGGGGTGAATTGAACAGTAAAAACCCCTATTCGAGATGTGTTACAAGTCCAACCATTATTATTCATCCCTAATGTGATGGGGTCTTTTGTTTTAGACTGTAAAGTTGACCACACCACTTGGTGCTCGTGTGGGACAGTGGGAGAGCTTTCAGCCTTTCACGCAGAAATCCAGATTCGGTACGCACAAAATTTGTACTGACACTGCTCTCACAGTACTTGCAGCCCTGCGGTAATACCTCCCCTGGATGAAGAAATGTATGGAGATGTTTTAAATGCACGGTCGTAAATGTTGGGACTTGGGAGAACAGTTAGCACCCGGTCTCTTCACGCAGTCGCTTCTGTCTTTGTAAGTTCTCATTGGCGCACCACATGCACATCTCAGCGTGCATTAGAAACATCTCCCATATTTATCATTGAGAGAATCCCAATACATGATTGAGATATGTTGTGGGAGACGGGATCTGCTCCTCACAAATGGGTGCCTCACAATCCACCATGCATTGGGAACATCTCCCGTCAATAATAATCAATAAGTACAGGAGATGTTCCCAATGCGTGATAGGATATGCGTGTGAGGCACCAGGTGTGAGGAGCAGATCCGGTCTCATGTTGTGGGGCGTCCTTGGGGTGCATTCTGTGAGGGCTGATGTGAACTCCCCTGCAAGCTGGGCCTTGTATGGAAACAAACCAAATTTAGTTAAGTGTAAAATCCATTCCAACAGCCATTATAGCGTATTGAGAATATATTCCCATGAAATAAATCACGGAAGTATGGAGATGTTCCCGATGCAAGGCTGTAAAGGTTGTTCGAACACCGAATGGGCCTTGCATTGGCTGAACCTGATCTCGTATGGAAAGTGGTGATGGTATGTTTAATGAAAAATCTCTTAAATCTCAAACATCTTTACATTGAATTGAGAAATCAGTTTTGCAATGAAGTTTAGAACTTTTTCAAAGCGGTTCAATTAATGTAGTTCAATCCAATGTTTTTCAACCTGTCGTTGACCTGGTCGGTTGAATCATCACCCGACCAGGATTTTGGGTTTGGTTCAAACAAGACCCGTCAAATGGTCAAAACCATTGACTTGGTCAATAATTGTTAGACCCGGCCGGTTCGACCGTTGACCCATTCGACCCGGTGACCTAGTTGCAGGTTGCACACTCAATACATGCAAACTTTCGGAGGCCATGTTCGATTGGGATGATTTTTTTTATTTTGGGTAACTTTGCCCTGCTATTTTTGTGAAACCCCCATTTTTTGGCCTCAAGTTACAATTTTTAATATTTTTTATAAATAAAAAAATAAAAACTGAATTAAAAAACATAAATTAAATATAAAAGAATATATTGTGTGTGTGTGTGTGTGTGTGCAATGATGTGGCATGGTTTGAACCGTTCAACCCAACCAGTCGAACCGGTGACTTGTGACCTGGAGGCAAAAATGGTTTGACCTTTGGGTCGATTTTTAAAGCATTGGTTCAATCAATACTAGACCCCGGGGGGTTGTGGGCTTGTGTCCTTTGGGGTTTGGGAAGGGTTACCCTAGTTGTGTGTGGCCCATTAGCTCCATTGGCCAAAGAAAAGAGAGGGCATCATTGGAAGAGCCTAGATAAACTCTTCTCACATAGCATCCAGTGGTATGTTGGGAATCTTTCATACATGTATCTTAAATTAGATTTTCTTAATGTTTGGTTGGATTCCATGCTTTTACAATGTGTACAGAGTTTTTGCTTGTATAGAATCCCATCGTTCATTGGAAAATACAATGTGCTTCAACAATTTAAGCATAGAAATTTGGTTAGTTACTTGTGATATAGGTTGAGCTACTACTTACCTAAACTATACATGGCAGATATTACATTTTTTATAGTTATTTACTTTATACTTCCAAATTTTGAAACCGGATTGAGGGATATGTTGCTGATATGCAGTTGTAGTGTGTTGTTGTGAGATCCAAATTCCATGCTTCTTGGATTTAGTCATTTGTAATTTTTGATGTGCCGTCCATTTGTGTTTATAATTTGGGTGATGCACATGCCTTTTATGCAAAATTGAAGTAGAAAGAGCCTTATGACATTTCTAATTGAGCTAAGTCAATCTAAGCCAGATTTCAAGTATTATATTTCTGACTTATGTTTTGTTGTTTTGACCACAATCCAAATTGAAACCCTAGTTAGAGTGGTTAATCTTGTATAAGGGTGTCAATGGGTCAAGTTAAATAGTAAATACGACTTGACTCACCCCTATGTTGTTAGGTTAGAATTAGGCTTATTAAGGTGTAGGCAAGGTTTAAAATTTCGATACAATATGCCTGATATGGGGTGTAACGTATCATATCTTTGAAAAACAAATACGGGATATGTATGGAAATCGGACGTTTCATCTTTTTTTTATGCGTATTGGACTCGTATCGGACCACATTGGAGCATATCGGGGAAGTACCAGGGGTGTATTGGGGCGTATTGGTAGCGTATCAACGAAAAAGATATGACCAAAAACTGAAAAAAAAAATAAAGGGGAAAATCAAGCTTCTTTCACCCCAAATGACTCTAAAACTCCAAACCTCATTCCTACAGTGATAGATTTGCAAAAATTTGCAAGAAACATGTGTGAATTATTAATTTTTTTTTAAATTTTTTCAAATTTTAAAAAAAAATATGGCAAAAGTAGGTAAGTTTTTTCAATTTTTTATAATATCTTGTGATTTTTTTTTCTTGAATGTTTAAATTTATGTTGATCTACATTTCTTACATTCAAAATCATAATTTTTTTTGTGTTATTAATAAATTTATGGAAATTTCATGAAGATATTCGGGGAAATATAAATTAATAAAAATTTTGAAAATGTAATTTTTCTCTACCTACAAAGACTAAATATGTTTCAGATCTATGGATTTATCTATCATATCCATAGAGCAATTGAAATTTCTTCTTTAGTATTTTTTTTTAATATTTTATAATTAAAAAATCAATAATAATTAATTATGTTTTATCATTTGATAACAACAATTGAATGTATTATAATTCTATGGATGATCTATCATATCCACAGACCAATTGAAATTTCTTATTTAATAATTATTTTTATTTTATATTATTAGAATTAAAAAATAATTAATTAATTATATTTTATCATTTGATCACAATGATTGTATATATTATAATTCTATGGATGATCTATCATATCCACAAAGCAATTGAAATTTCTTCTTTAATAACTATTTTTTGAATTATTTATTTTTATAATTTTTGGAAATAAATAATAAATAATTATTGATTATATTTTCACTTAGAATTTGTGCCAATGCATGTTTTATGGTTGGATAGGAGAGTTGGGTTTTTCCCATCCCATAAAACATTAAAACTTAAGAATTATAATTTATAAATTATAGTTAAGCATAGGATTTTTAATGAAATTATAATTAACTACAATATATTTCTTCATAAAACCATTAAAATATATAAATTAAATGTATATACACCTCATTGAGGTTTTATATTTAGTGTTATTGATGTTTTTTTATGATTTATTAAAGTATTTATAGTGTTTTCAAGCATATCTTAGTTTTTCTCCGATATGCATGCGTATCCTGATATGTTTCTTAAAATTGCCTTTTCGAAACACTTGGCGTTTCCAATACTTTGAACCTTGGGTGTAGGGTCATGTTAGAGTTTTGATTATTTAACCTCAATCAGGTGCAGGTTTGACTGGCCTAGCCCACCAAATCATAATACCCCTAAACATATAAAGGGCATTCTTGTAATTTGGTCTAACTTCTAACCCCTAACCTTAAAGTTTATGATTTCTTTCAATGTTTACTTTTAACCCAAATCAGGTGTAGGGTTAGGTTAGAGTTTTGATTACTTAACCCAAATCATTTTCAAGTTTGACTAACCACCACCCATCAAGCCATGCTACCCCTACACATATGAAGGGTATTCTTGTAATTTTGTCTAACTTCTAACCCCTAACCTTAAAGTTTATGATTTATTTCACTATTTTGTTTTTGGTATTTTTTTCTTTTACTTTGGAGAAGCAATTTATGATATTTAAGAAAAATTAAATGCACATATTTGCAAGGTGAATAGAAATAGAGATGGAAATAAATCTATTTTATATGTATAAAGCAAGGTGGTCCACATCACCATGCCTCTCCTTGCTCCAAATCCTCCTTTCTAATTTCCTATTTTTTTTGAATTTTTTATTTTTTAATTCCACATAATCATTATTTTAAAAGGCTTAAACCTTGAGGTGTGAGGCATACGCCTTGAGGCAAGGCACATAGATGTTGCCTTAAGGCTTAAGCCTCAAGCCTCAAGGCATGAGGCATAACTTGAGGCGTAAGCCTTACGTATCAATGAGTACTTAGTGATTTAATGCACAAAATATACATTTTATAATTTAAAATAAATTAAAAAGACTTTAATAATTATAGGCCAAATAAAAAAGAGAAAAACAATAAGGCAAATAAAATTGTATTAGTTTTTTTTTAATGTTTTAAGAAAGTTTAATGCAAAAAGGACTAATCAAGTTCTCAGTTTCTTTTGGATAGATCAAGTGAGATTTTTCTTATTATTCTAAATGTAATGTCCCAAGTTTGTTATTTTTTCTCATTTCTTCTACTAATGGATCTTTTTCTTTTTAATTATAATAATAATAATAATAATTGTTAGTTGGTTTTTTAAATTGGTTATTATTATTATTATTATTATTATTATTATTATTATTATTATTATTATTATAGATCAAATCAACTGAGTTTTTCTTTTCCTCTAAATTGGTTTTTTTACATGAAATGTAAAATATTTATAATTGTTAGTTGATTAGTTATTATTTTA